ACTATAAGCTCCTTGGTCTTATTGATATTAAGAGCCAAATTATTGTCTCCGCACCACGAAAACACCCGGTCCACCTCATCCCAGTAGGCAGACTCATCTCCTCCATATTAGGGCATAGGAACAAAATATAGCACATTTCCCGCATACTGCATTTTTCTATGGATACATTTTCTTTTCTTGATTTTTTAAACTGAATCTGAATTGTGTGAATAAATCTAAACCCTCAGATATACAGTACAGAGATAGAGAGACTGTATAACATGTAACATATAATTTGAAATGACAGAACCCAACTATTCAAAGGTTATTAAAGCATCAGCTTATGTGTAAAAAAGCTTTCCAATGTATTTATGTTTGAGATGTGTGTCATATTTTCAAAATCTTCTTTACAGCCCTCTCTGCAGTCTGTGGATTTGGATTCCAACCCTTTAATGATTTTCTCAGAAGCATACCCCATTTATTTCATATCCACCTAAGTATTTGATCTTAATGATTCAATGAGTCACTTCATTGGAATAATGCCATGTTCTGTGACACTGAGTGCATTGATATGAACATGTGGTAACTTGATTATCCATCTGCTGATATCTTAAGTGTTTATCTTATATGTGTTGTCTGCATTCAGATGCCAAAATAAACTATGATTTATCATGATGGAGCAGAGACTAGGTGGTCTTTAGGCTTGTATGTTCCCCTCTTTTTTTTTTTCTCTGGAACAGCCATGAAAAGATGAGAAATTTTTGCTTTAGGTTTTTCCCTCCTTAACTGCACTGTACTTAATATAAAATGTAAATTGTAGCTCAGGTTTTGTTGAATCATGATTTGAAGCATCATTGTTTCAAGTATATTGTACTTAATCACAAGTTACCAGCTTCAGAGAATATGGCAAACTGCGGTGTACCTGTCCTTAAAATAAGAGCTTCTGATCTTATCTTTGTGTGTGTCTGTGTCTGTGTGTGTGTGTATATCTGTGTCTGTGCCTTCAAGTCATTGTTGACTCCTGGCAACTGCCTGGACAAGTCCCTGCAGGGTTTTTTGGCATGATTTTGGAAGTGGTTTTCCATTGCTTCCTTCCTAAGGCTGAAAGAGAGTAACTGGCCCAAAGTCACCCAGCTGGCTTTGTATTTCAGGCAAGACTAGAATTCATAGTCTCCCAGTTTCTAGCCTAATGCCTTAGCCACTACACCAAACAGAGCTGAAGAAGACAACATCATACAGAAACCTGGAGTTCACATTAAGCAGATGAGAACTAGATCCATATGATCATTAAAAAAAGCAAAAACCAGTGAATATTTCAACTGAGCATCATGGTATAAAGTGGTAAATTAGTCTGAGTCCATGTCTGTTCACTGACATGGGCAATACATTGAAAATATTGGCCTTGGTAAAGAAAAATGCTATCATTTATTAAAACGATTTATTTTTCTTATCTCCCTTGGTTTGTTCAGGATTTTGATTATTTTACTGTTGACATGGAAAAGGGAGCCAAAGGGTTTGGATTCAGTATTCGAGGTGGAAGAGAATACAAAATGGATCTCTATGTCTTGAGATTGGCAGAAGACGGGCCAGCAATAAGAAATGGACGAATGAGGGTAAGACGGATTGAGGAGGTAAATGCTAGCAGACCATTGAAAGCCAGTGGCATTGAGCAACATAAAGATTACGTCTCATTAAATATACATAAGATAGAGTATTAATGCTGGAGTCCTGTACACTCTGATTTTCAAGGCTGGGGAACCTAAAACACTAGGCTGGTACAGTAAACTCTACAGCAGCATTTCTCAACCTTGGCAACTTTAAGATTTGTAGACTTCCACTCCCAGCATTCCTCAGCCGGCTTGTGAAGTCCGGAGATCTTAAAGTTGCCAAGGCTGAGAAACAGTGCTGTAGATGCAGACTAGGAATAAGCTCCGTTGAATTCAGTGGGCTCACATCTGATTAAATATGTATCTGCTCATTTGTTTGGTGTAGAAAATAGCTTACTGTACTGTATTGTGAGGCAGATGTTATGATTACATAGCAATACATTTGCAACAAAGGGTTTTCTCGTGGAACTAATCTATCACATAGCATTGATAGACTTCAGAAGAGCAGCATATCAATATTAGCCATCCGTGA